AACCAAAAATGAATTATTAAAAACCTTTTCTTATTTAATATTATATTGACTCATAATCAATAAATCATAACGATGGGGTGGTCCACCATGGGCCGAAGCTTTTTCTCTCAATTTTATAATCACATAATTGCAGTTTATTTTATTCAACCGGATTTCGATTACAGAATTGCTATGTATGCTGTACCTAAATACTCGTAGTAAAACAATAATTCCATTTTTGATTTGTGTGAACAATGAACATTATGCGGTCAATAAGAATTCGATATTTTTTTACCCCTCAGAGATATAAGATTTAGGTATCGGAATAAATTATTGTTAACTCCCGTAAGRTGTGTGCATAATATATTATACATTCAAATTATGTCTCCGTTTTTTTCACGTMTCTTCTATACTCTGTGTTATCACTGGTTTACGATTATTTACCACTAAGATGGGTATTTATTAGTTATATTGTATACAGTCTCCGGGTTTCAAGGCGAATTTCATCTATTTCGTGTTGCTTGTGTCTATGGTATCGCGAAATATAACCCAAAATCAAGTTGCTGGTGAATAAATTCTGTTTGCTMATTTGGAACTTAGAACAAGATGTGTGATGAGTCGTTCACTAAGCGACTCACCAAACGATATGACATTTTTTTTTTACTTTTATCATTTACTATTTAAAACACCTTGGAGGATTTAAAAATGGTATGCTGTAAATAATAATAATGATAAAAAATCGTAAGCTACAAGCCTGAGAATCATAAAATAAACGATGACCTCGGGATTACTAATAAAAACATACAAAACGAAACAAAATAATGTAAAAGAGTTTTGTTGCTAAACTGCTGTCGCATACTCTTTTAATGACATAATATATGCTACAAAAAGATAAATATAATAATAATAAAGGTATACAGAGTGATTCATCTAACACGCACGACCCCAGTTTTCCTTTAAATTAACTTATTTAAATCCTGATTTTTTGAATTTTTCAATATGCACAAGAAACATATTTTGAAATACTTGTATTTTTTTTTATGAATAGGCCCATGATATAGTAACTAATATTAATCCATCAACATTTTAAAATTTGTGAAAATTGTCTGAGTACCAACAATAATTAATAAATACTAAAGATTAAATAATACATTTATTTAACTTTTTTTAAAACYATTTTTAAGAATTGATGTATAATAATTGACAGATATTTTTTGTCARTAATAAAAATATATACACGATGAAATTGTTTTTAACTTGTGTATACAAAATAATTTACGTTTTGAAAATTAAAAAAATCGCTAAATATTTTTAAAATTTTTTCGATAATGCTACCTAATTTTAATATTTGAGAAACATTGTAAGTGTCTAATTTTATTCATTTTTTATTTTGAAAAAAAAGGTTTTATRTAATAAAGCATTGGACATTTTTTGACACTTCTTAGCTTGAATTAAATCAATCCAATTTGCTACCGGCGAAACCTCCCTCAAATTTTAAAATCATATAGCATTTTTCTTCTATAATCTATATAAGGTATTTCTTGGCACATAACACAAACACTATAGGTAATCTTAGTAAGACCAATCGATCATCATTCCGTTCAAAATCTTAAATCCGTTAGTGTCACCGCAGGACACTCTTTATAGTTTTAAAATAATGACTTGAACATATATTGCATAAGTGTTATACTTAACATTTTATAAAGTAGAATTTAAATAAGTTCATTACTAATGGTAAAAATGGGAGTGATCATATATTTTTGGTGAATTACCCTGCCTATTTATATATATAATAATTATGCGTAGTCTTCATATTATGTGAATAGTGTGTATTTTATTATTATTATGTGTTTAGGTCGTCGTTAAAGTTATATGTTTAAAATTTTAACATCAACATTTTTCATAAATCATAAATTTCATATAATAGGTAGGTACTTAGTAATTACTAATTATATTATAAAAAAATATATTAATATTAATGCATAACATATTCATTGGTTTTTTTTTTACATTATATTTCTGAGGTAACAAAACTGGTTTAGAAGAGAGTTTAGGGAGGCCATAGCTCTTAGATTCTGACTTTGCACCATATATTTATTATATTGACTAATCATTATATTATATTGAATATTGTATGTGAAAGAAAATTAGCTTATACCTTTATTCCTTAATACAAATAAAATGTTTACTCAAAAAATACGTGATTTGATATTGTCATTATCAGTTTGATGATTATTTTAGTGTTTACTTTATTATGATCAAACATTTTTCAAAGCTAAAAAATAATTTAAATATTGAATATCCTCATATGAGTTATATTCAATGTCCTGTGAAAATAAAAATACAATCATAAGTAATCTTTTAAAAATAATTTAATATCACTGTCTTTAAAAAAATTAGCCCGGTGCTTCAATAATCTAAACCCGAGCTTGGTGCTACAATAGACCATCGTCGAAACACCAGCGACCCTATGTTGCGTATTGAATACTCATTACAGAACACTCGAGACGTGCCTATATAAGAGACGTTATTTACGTCAGTCAAGTGGCGTGAAGTGGTTTAGTCGATTTTAACATTCTTGAGGGATCTATCTTGTCCAATTGGTAGTTAAAAATWTAACTGCAATGCGATAATTTAAAAGAAGCAAAGAAAAAAAAAATGACGCTATGTCGACGTCGCGCAATGTTTGTAAATGTCGAATTCAGACTCCCTGGAGAGTGGAAACGCACGTGTAAACCATTACTTGTTCGAAACATTTCTATTGGTCAACTATTTTTGTGGTTTCGATCAATTGTTGTTTGACGTCCACTTAAAACAAAATAAAGTGAAAAATATTTTCAATTGTTCACAAATTACTTTACCGATAGAAATCCAAAAATTAACAGTTCAAATTACATAAAGGTACAATGATCCAGGTGTTTTTAATGGCGTAACTAGTTTAAAAAAAATTTTCTCTGCTCCCAACTTACCACCGACTTTAAGTTCAATTGTACTTTATAAGTACTTCGAAATACCAATCACTTAGTAATGGCTTTGAATAAGTTCGAGTTGGAACTAAGCAACTTTCACTGAAAAGGTGCTAAAATCACGAAACATCTGTGTTTAGTAAAACGACCACCATCTTCTAAGCTTCCAATAAATGACTAAATCATCGTTTCAATATTACTTAAATAAAACGTCTCAAATATACATACATATTTTATCAGTAATACTTGTTTTGTACACCCATTTGTCGTGTTGACGGAATTTTTTTTTAATTAAGCCTCAAAAACAAAGGTTACAGGCTATAAACATTAATATTTTTTTACACAAGTAGAATTATTATTATGTTTCTCATAAAATATTGTTTGACAAGAAAGATATATATTGAAGTTTTATATAACTAAAAATGGTACTGTTCAATATTTATTACAGTTATCTTTTAAAACGTATCAAATCCATTATTTTATGTCTGATTAGTGATATAGTCATTGTTATCGATTGCGTCGTATAGGAATTAAACGCACATATTTTACTCTAATTTAGTGCACATACGTATAATAACTATCCAAATTTTACTCATAAAGTAGTAAGACTAATACATTTCCTTTCAATTTTTGAATGTATTACCAATTTTTTTAAGTTGGCAAAAACGTGAACACGCAAAAAAAAAACGTATAATTTAAATGACATGTTTAAGCGTTTAACAGATTATTTTTGAATTTTAAACAAAGAGGTCTTTTTTAATTATTTAAGCTTCGTCAACACAGTTAACATTAAATTAACCCCTCGGAAATTCACTTAAAAATATTTTGTGACAGAATCGTTTACCAAATAATATGCAATATTATTTAATTACATAAGTATAGGAATAGTTAGTAGGTACTACTCATCATGTACTTACATTATAATATCTATTCAACCTTATGAATTATAATTAGTAATAATTATTATAAATTACTTTTTATTTTAATTCTAAATCATTGCACATATTATATAATTTAATTAATGTTGAAATTTCAAAATACAAATGCGATTTTTTTTTCTTTTGCTACTTATACAATATATAAATGAAAACTATTGATATTATAATTTATTAAAAATAGTTTTGACTTTTCTAAATCATCACTTTTGTAGTAAATAAATCGAAGCGTTGTTAATTAAATTTTAAAAAGGCTCAAATTAATTAAGAAACATAAAAATCTAATTGAAAGAACAGAAATAGGCACTAGTAAAATGTTAATAATATAATTTAACTGGGAAGAGAAAAACCCGAATGGTGGAAGTTTTCTCTTTAGTAACAATAGAAATTAAAGCGATTTGTGGTCAAAATGTTTTACGTAATAATATCGGAACCTACATATTAACTGTGGCTTTAGTTTTAATTATCATAATATAAACGTATAATAATGATAATAATACTATTTAATAAAATATTAAATCCTGTAGATTTATACAATACAAATAAAGAGAACTGCAATACCGTGTGATTATAATATTTCACAAATTAAATATTATATTATTAGTTATATTAGCATTAGTATAATATTTTTTATTTTTTATATTAGACCCTCGACAACATGAGACATTGGCCTTACATCATGAAAATTAAAACTATGACATAATATTAAGAGAGATTATATAACATAAATTAACTTTAAATTTTAGTCTGAAGGTTGGCGACTGTAGTGATGAATTAGGTGATGTTGGCTATGGATTGGGGTTGGTTGTTAAAAATGTCTGCAATATGTTTAATTATTGCAGAGTTTCGGTTAAATGTTTGACATTATAATAATAATATGCAATATACCTATATATATTATAGAGGCTTGTAAAATAGATTCATTAAGCGAAAAACCGACGAGCTGTGTGAAAATTACGATTTAATTGTTTTCTCCGTTATATATTTATTATATAATATTAAACTGCAAACCGACGCAACTTATATCATCCATATTATTATATTCACACATCGACTATAAATATTCTAAAAATATGGCCTTTTATACAATAATTTTTATTTTATTTTCATTATATTATAGTTTAACGTCAGACAAATGATGGTCGACAGTACGGGAATGAGAACGGACAATATAAAGCCAGGAACGCCCATTACGTCTGAAACGTCCAGCTCAAAAAATACCAACGATAGCTCCAGCGGCAATGTCAAAAACAGTTCAACAACTGTCGAAAAGATTGTACCATCTAGGTAATATTATTACTTCCGGTTCAAATGATCTTAAACTATATAATGTTTTCGACCACTTAAAAACGATGAATTATTTTAATTGTTATCGAACACCTATAAAGTAGCAACTTACTGAGTTACAAAATATACAATTAAATTTTTAAACACTTTGTATTTCAATAAAATTTTCAAAACAAATACTATAAAACCGTGGTGTTGTTGAAAAAAAWTTAAGCTACTCACTTTAATGCTTTATTCGCTCGTATTTTTTTTTTTAACTTTAAACTAAAACACATTTAATTTTGAAAACATAAAATAAAGTATTGTGTAAGTGAGGTATTTATCTATAAAGCAAAAAGTTTGAATTCACGTTTTACTAATTGATAAAGATTAATAAATGTTAAATAGTACATTAGTACATACTATAAATACACCCTAAATTAAAATAGGTAATCCTTTTTTAAAATTTATTTATAAACGGCTAATTCATTTCAATTGACCCAAACAATTAATGTTTTTATATTTGATAATTAAAACCTCTGCGTATTTTATTTATACCTTTATAATCTTGAAGTTACAAAAAACACTAATATCAATTAAATTCATTCGATTATATTTAAATTATATGAGAATAATCTTTTCAATCCCCTAAGGTGTATATTTTAATACCCTGATTCCCGGAATTATTGAAATATACTAAAAAATTAAATGAAATCATATTTTTATGATATATTAAATTTACTATATATAGCAGTGTTTTAAGTTATATTTTAATTATAATATTATAGTCATAATAATATCATATAGTATTATTGCATTATAGCCTGTAGTATTGGTATTCATTTTACAGAAACATTACTTTATATCTTCATGATATGTATTATATTCTATGGTTTAAGCATTATAGATTTTTGTCTGTTAAAACTCGTAAGTATCTACCATTATAATTATACCTTATTGATTGACTTTAAGAAAGCATACGTTTTCATTCGTATTCCTGACGCAGTACTTAAAAGTAATATGTCCTAGATAGCCAGTGGTTAATTGTGTAGTATGTGTAAAATTATTTTTATATTTTATTGTTTTTAGACATTTGTATGGGTCGAGTGTCCAATAATATAATTTAATGTCTATTATCGGACGTGTGGTATAATTACCATTATGCTGAGATACTTTAATAGGCATGTGCACCACATTATACAATGGACTTTTTTTGTATTTTAATTTAGTGCTTGTAACGTTTTTTGAACAGTTTATACCACAAAAAAAAATAATAATGTCACCGCTTAAAGGTTTTGTTTGTTTAAACTTAATTAAAGTAAAAAAAATATAATGTATGGAATGTTAGGTATACCTATTGTACCTACCTACATAAACGTAATTATACGATGGGACTGAGCATTTTTCTGTTAACTTAATTAATTCTAATAAAAGCAAAATATATTTAATTATGTTTTAATTATTAAAATAGTTGTATTACCTGAAAAATTAAACTATTTTTGGTAGTGATAACCATTAGAAAACAATTAAAATAACTGTGCCTACAATATTATAAAAATGAAAATTTTCATAATTTTGTTTAATTTGAATTCATTAAACTTTATAATTTATAAACTTTAAAACGATAAATTCGTAACAATAATTCTATAGTTTTACTTTCTGAAATTTTTGAGAACAACGGCCAACAAAGTTTCAAAATAGTTCGATGTTTAGTTAGACTCAGGTTGCTGGTTGTCATAAAAATTCCCATGGCATTGATAAAAACGTAGATTTTTTTTAAAGTTTTGACTATAACACTTGAAATATGAGTCTCAGAACTTTTCTACTGACGTGATTTGATAGAAGTAAAAAAACATATATGTATGTACTATGTATATAAAATATTCGGGTGGAGCTTTCTTAAAAATGTTTTCTGGATTTAAGAAGTAAACTGTATTGCATTTTAGATACAAAGACTAATGGTGTAAGCTAACGTATATTTGAGGTAGTTATATTTTATAAGTTATTACATTCATGCTATTAGAATATATGTTCTCATCGATTAAATTTTAATAATTATATTTAAATGTATTATTATTAAATAAGTGTTTATTAATGAAAAATGAATACATGATAGACTATATAATAATTTTGTTCACGAATTATGACAAACTGGAATTCGTGAATAATTAACTCAATTTTGTCGATTGTGTTTGACTAATGTTAGACATCAAAATAATAATATTTATTTATGTCGTTTKATTATGAAATCTTTGGTCATACGTTCGTATCAAATCGTAACCGTTTATATTTATATTTATCATCACTACAGTATTCCAAATTCTGTTCCAATCGCAATATCACCTGAAATATGCTAAAACCACAAAATTGTTGGTTTCAATAAAATATTTTGAGTGTCGTAAATTAAATTACAATTATTGTTTATTTACAGAGACATGATTTATTATGTTATTTATACTGTACATACAAAACGAATACTAATAGCGTAGTAGGTAAAATATTGTGATTGAATGTTGTATCAATTTCATGGCATTTTTCAATTATTATTTTCCAGTGGAATTTCTTTTACCACCGATCTCATATACATTCTAAATTCACAACTTAATCTTCAACGTTTATCTGTTAAACAGTTTACACTGAATGCTTTTATGTTCATTGCGCTGTTAAAGATATATAGTGAGAACCATTAATTTTTCGCGTATGATACTCTCTACTCATGCGTTTACTTTCCAGATTACTAGTATCAAAACATAAAGAAATAAAGAATCGAAAAGAAAAAAATGTACGCAAGACCCTGGTTAAGCTTACACATATATTATGCTTATATATTTCACCAACAGCCTAACAGCTGGAAAAATACATTAAAATTATTATTCTTTATAAATGGGTTGGACGGAGGAACAGCGAGGTACTTATCAAATAATTTTAAAACACACATCGAGCATAATATAGGTACACTGTATTATACCACGTTCAAAAAAATAGAACGGTTATAGCCAATATGCCAATAATTTTTTTTAATAATTAAAGACTTTCTATTATTGATTACTAAATTCGGTTATGGATTATTTTTAGAAACGATAAACCATAATAGTCTAGGCGCGTATTTACGTTTGTTAAATCTAGAACGCCGTTTTATCGATGCAAGTACAAAAGAAACAAAGCAATATAGCTAAAAACATTGGATTTTTAATAGCATTTTGCAGATTAAGAATCGTAATAAAATAAAAAATAACATTCATTTTATAATGTTCAGACATTTTGTTGGAAGTTTAAATCATTTAATGTGTTTCTCAGAATAATACTAGGTATAGATACCAAATAGATTTTGTTTTATTAAATAATAAAACGTAATAATTCAATTCGCATATTCGTATTATTTTTTTTGTTCAATAAATGTATTGTGATACAAATATTGCACGTACTTACATAATACTATAAAATGTTTCATCGACATACTGTAATAGATTTTTTCTTAAAAGGAAAATCAATTTTATTACTGACGATTCAGTATAACTAAACACATTAATCGTTTAATATTTTCATGGTGAATCAAATTATTATTACCATACCTATGTTATAAAGATATTAAAATTAAAAGTCTGATGGAAGAAGTAAAAAATAAAATACGGTTTGTCTTTTAAAATTGTTGTGTTTATTATTATGAAGAATTAGATGTAGTCATTTTTTTTAGTGTAAGCCTAGTCGTAAGTTATCTAGATGTTTCTAAATGCCGGTTTCCACTCGAAAGCCCGGCACGCCTTTAAGGCATTTCGTCAACTATGTCCCACGTCCGTTTGTCTCTATATATGACTTGGACGACWACGCCCTATCCTAAGGAAGCAATGTTTGCGGACAAAATAAAAGACACGTCCTTTCGAGACGCCCACGAGAACAATCGATACGATATAGGTACCCATATCGGTAACATAAACTGAATATACATAAATGGAACGGCCGATAATCCATCTTTGTGACAAGTTTTTACTTTTTAGGCTTATTTATTGCACAATTTATTTAACACTTGACCTTATACAAGCCGCTAAGTTTTCCATCAATATGCAATAAAGTATTGATGAAGTAAATTCTACTATTTTCTAAATTGCCGATTTCAAAAAATAATTAAATCATACGCGAGTAATATGCATTACCTAAAAATTTAATAGTAAAACTAAAAACGCTTAAAAATATCTTTAAGTTTCATATGATAACTCATAAAAAACGAGAAAATATTAGCTAATTATTATAGTAGATAAAGTATGCTAAAAACTATTTAACGTTTTGTAAATATTTTTAAATACCCAATAAAAACATTGTTCAAGTCTTAGTATTTTATTAAATTGCCCAGATACATATAAAAAAATGAAAATAGATTTAATAAGTTAGGTTAGGTAAATCAAATTTAAAACTTGTATGCCGTTTAGAAGCGAATTCTAGACATAGTTCAAAATTGTAAATTTTATGTCGATATTTTGTTGAACACTTTAATTTAACATCAGTAAATAGTTGATAAGGATTCATTTTTATTTGTTTTAGGGAATTTATATTACAAACACAGATGTATTGAATTGAACGATGGTTTATCAGTATAAGACATATAGGTATAGACAGTTGTKATTAGTTATTATATCGTTTTTATTTGATATAAGAGGAGAAATGCAAATTTAAACTTTATCTCACACGGAATAAAAACATTTTCACGACCGTTAAAATACATTAATCTAGTTTTAATGTGAAAAAGATTTTTCACCTGTATAATAATTCTGAAAATCCATTAGAGCGATAAACTTCATTTACTAGAAATAATCTTAAACTTTCTTAAATCCGTTCAGCGAGGTAATTAATATTCGTAGGTATAATATATTATAATTTTGATTTGAAATAAGATCTCATCAAAATAGCTTATTTTCATTTCCAAAATTGATTTGACTACCTATGTGTTTTAATAGATTTATACCTAATCTAATTTAACCTGTGATTCAGTCACATAAATAACTATAATCCTTTATTTTTGCATTATA